ACACGGCGGGGTCGGCACACGGGGCTGGGGCTTTGGCACCACCATGGAGTCACCACGGGCCTGCCCTGGAGCCATCGTGGATCCTCTCCGGGCCCTCTATGGATGCTGCACAGACCGGCCATGAACCTAACACGGACCCACCACAGACCTGCCATGGACCAGCCCGGATCCACAGGGGAGTTTCCATGGATCACTGTGGCTCTGCTGTAGACCCACCACAGAGCTGCCACGGATATTCCATAGAGCCTCCATGGAACTGCCTTGGATCCACTGTAGACCACCATGGACCTGCTGGGAACCCTGCACACTTCCAGTGGCTACCAAGGACCCACCACAGACCCGCCCTTGAGCAGGACAGACCTGCTACAGTGTATCCAACAGTGTATCCTTCCTGGAGCTGCCATGGATCCACCATGGAGCTGCCATTGACTAGCATGGATTCTCCGTGGATCTGACATGGATCTGATGTGCTCACTACAGACCCGCCATGGACGCGCCAGGGACCCACCACGACCTTCTTCCTGGCACCTGGGGGCCCGGTGGGGACTTGAACCAGGCTCACCTTGGTGCCAATGGGGAGGGAGGGAAGGAGGGCAAGAGAGAGGGACAACAAGAGAGGGAGGGGGAGGAAGGAAGGGAGAGGAAGGGGGAAGCTGGGCAAGGTGGCTCTGGGCACCTGTGGACTGCCCGTGTCACCTCCCATGGGGTGTGAGGGGAGTCATCGTCACCCAGAGAGCGGGAAACAACTGGGTGCAAATGGAGAGTTCTGCAGCTAGGGCAGCACCTTCACGGCTGCCGCTCTCCCGCACACTGCCCCCTTGCTCGCATGCGGGCCGCTTCGCTGAGGGCTTCCCCGAGGCGGCCGGTCACCATCGCCCTTTGCTCCGCGGTGACACATCAGTCAGTAAATGCAGCTTTTTGGCCACTGGTTTATTTTTCCCCTCTCCTCTGATATAATTAGTTTTAATTGGGACGATAAATGAGACCTTTCCCTCAAGATAATTATGCAAAGCGCTGGATTAAATCGCTATTAGGATTGTTTTCCTTTTCTCTTTGCCATCAGTGCCAGGCAGCCGCTCTTTTAAGCAATCACCCCCCTGGCATTTTCCACACGTATTTTTGCACGTGCGTACAAACGTAGGCCCCCAAATACCCGCGTTTCCCCCCTTTTCCCTCCCTTCCGGAGCGCGCAGAGCCCGCGCGCAGCTCAGCGCACAGCC